AAGGGACGACTTAGTGTCCGGTACTAAGAGACAGACATTGTGCGTGCCCCCCATGCCCCCTTCACTTTTATTTTGAAATAAAAAGATTTATACTCGCTTAAATAATATGTATTAAACAGAGTGTCCGGTGTTTGGGCCGTCCGGCGTTACGGGACTTCTCCCTATATACAAGCAATGCAAATAATTTATATTTGATTTTCAATCATTTTTAATGTAATAAGACCAAGTATGTCATTTAGTTTTTAGTAATTTAATGTACTTTATATTTTATATATATCATATATAAAAGGCGAGGCGGTTCTCAAACTCCAGATTCGAAATCTAGAGCTCTAACTACTAGGCCACGGGGAAGCCCATTTAGTACACTTCAACCATTATATTTTGCAATATTATTTAGCAATAGTAGAATCATTTTCACCTTACAATTATTGTAGAAATATGATATTTAATGCCGCGTCCGTAAATTTATTTAAATTAGTTTTTTATTTCCTAAAATTTCATCAACTCATTCGTTAATTTTTATTATTATCAAAATTTTGGTTTGATATTAAATGAAATATAATATATTGCAATGAATGTAAGTCAAAATACTAACGTTCTTATAGAGGAATTTTAACATAAGTCTATTTCTCATTTGAATAAGTTGAGCTCGTTATTCTGTGCCAAGACTATTAGCATTGCCGTGCAAAATTATGCGAACGCGTAAAGATGCTAAAATATGTAAATTGCTGGCATCAATTACTCACTGTGTAATATTTGCATGCATAGAAATTTTACATTTACATTGTTATTATATCACAAATTTTGTCTCCTACTGCATCTTTTTATATAGACTTTTTTTTATGAAATTCTATGTTTAAAAAATATTTTCATCACGAAATAATGAAACAAATCCTTTAAGAATTTATGTTAATGTTTTGTTTTGAATATATATAGCTTTCATGGCATTTGCTACTTCAACCATTATTCTGTTCCTCAATGGAAGCATCAATTAAAATACTGAAAATTTTCCTCAAGACTTTATTTTTGGCGAAACTGAGCTGCGTTTTAGGGAGATAATTAAGAATTCTTGTACACACTCTCGCACCGTAAATCATATTCCACCGTGAAAATTATATTCGTTCATTTATGCTATCAAATGAACTAAATCTTGTTAACAACGTTGATATAAAGATCAATTTTACACTTAAATATTTAATAATTTCACACAGTACATCATACTTTTAATAAGGAGTACATCAACCCTCATACTTCATTACTATCTTATATGAATAAATAAATATGATCAATGTCCGTACATTTGTCTACCGATTGTTAACATATTTTACATTTAATTTGCAATTTAACTGTGTTGCACTGAATAATATATACATGACAAGTTTGCTTCTTGCAATAATTAGCTTCTCCTGCGATCTCAAGAAATTCTATTTCTAGCTTCTAGTGTCATTATATTCCGCATGCAATTTTAATAACAGAAATTTGTTCATCGCTTTATTTTTTCTCTTATATAGATATTTCCAATAAAATAGCATTTTTACTTTCGTATGTGATATAATAAAAGAACTGTTACACATTAAAAAAAACGGCTCAGGAGAAAAGAATTCGGAATAGTAATCATTTGGTAATATTTCACCTTCTCTAGCTCTAATTTCGCGAATGTATATAATTATATGTGAAAAATCCAAGTAAATTTTTAAACAAATAAGAACTGTTATGTACTGCTTCGAATCCTTTTTTTTTCTATTAGATACCAATTGTATAAAAAAATATTAATAATTTTTGATAGTAATGGTGCGTACCTATATGCAATGCTTGTAATTATTGGAGTAAATTTTGTAGAAAATGTTGCTAATTCATTTGCATTAAATTTCATTTTCTAGTATGCATAATTATTTATCAATGTAAATGAATATTTACTAATGTTTGTATAAATCAGTATATAAAAATTTCTTTTGAGTGGTTTGAGTGTGTGATGCTCTAATGTAGTAAATCAATTACAAAATTATTTTCTGATCATTTTGAATTATCTTCTTAAATTTAAATGCCATTGTCTTTTTCCTGCTTATCACAAATACTGTAGCACATTGCGTGGAAATTCTATTTTGTATTAAAACTTCTTGAATATTTAAATTTAACATCCATAACGTTTTAGCATCATCTAATATTCATGACGACGCTTGACTACACAAACATCCAGAACAGTATTTAAGATTTTCGGAATCGCGAATTTGGGATATATTGATAATTTTTGTTGACTTAACAATTGAAAGGAGTACATAATTATATTAATGCGAAGGCTAAACTGAAAAGTACAATAATTGTTTGATATTTAATCCTTGATTGTCTAATATTTGATCCTAAACTATAAGATATTTACAAGAATAGAGAGCATCAAAACTTGAATCCAAATTGCTCTAAATTAATAACATTATATCCAATGATCAAACCTTAATTTTTATGCAAATAATTTTTGCAAAAATCTCATTAAATATTCTTCATTCACACTTTGGTATTATGTATGGGTACTTTTTCTATAGATAATTAATTTGTACACCGAATTTTCCTTAAAGTATTTTGTAAATCAATTCGTCTCATTCTTAATTCTTACTTATGTAAAATTAAAAGTTTCATAATAGACTTCAATTCAAGAGGTTAATATAATTTAATTAGAAAAATTGATATGCTAGTACTAGCATGTCTTATATTAATCTACTGTTACGACTACTATTAATGTTTTATTTATTTTTACCACAGATAATTATAATAATTCAAAAAAAAATAATGAAGCAAAAAATAAGAGAATGCGATAATTAATTCAGTAATAAATCATATTAAGTTTAATTCATAATTCATTTAATACATTTTTGGTATTGTATTCAAAATCATACTTCATCGAGTCTTTCTAACACCATATTAAAAAATTATTCAAATGATATACTTTTCTGTTTATATTTTGTTGATACATAATGCTATTTGTTTATGAATATTCACCATCTTTTCGCTAGAATAAATTGCATTCCGGATTTATTATCTATCTACAAACAAGTTTGAGATTTTTTTTTCATTCTTAAATACTTAATGTTCCGAAATTATCTTCTTGTTTTTACATTGTTTGTTAATGTAAATACAATATTTACGATAACAAATATTTGTATTTTAAATAGTGGTAAACTTGAAAGCAGTTTTGAATTTTATATCTTTGATAGTTATATGGGCTCCGTAGTAAGAACGTGATTTAGCATCCACTTGATCCGAGTTCGATACCTACCTAGGCTAGCAGTAGTGATATCAAGTAGTAGCGATGTCATATTTTTACTTAAGATTATATAACATATCATTTTGATTGCTGACATGAAGATTTATCTCTCTAAAATTAATATATAGAAATTATAATCATATTGTTATGGTAATTATTTGTCCTTACAAAGTTTAGTACAAATGTTTTCAATAATTATGTTAGTTCGCATTCTGATGTTTTACTATTTATACTTGCAACATTTTTTTTTATCATCGGTGGTAATTCAAAATATTTCCAGCTGCAGTGGTTTTATAGGAAAATAAGGTTTTCAGGCTTTCATAATTATTTATTTTGTCAATTTATTAAAGAGAATCTCAAGCCGATCATTATGAGCTACTATTGTATATTTATGATTTTAACTTGAACAACATAGTTATAAATGCTATAATTATTATCAATACAAATTGTCATAACATCAGAAACTTTCATGTATCTTTTGCAATACTAAATAATCAAATAGCTAATGAAAGTGCATTTATTCGAAAATATAAACTTCCTACGAGCGCAGGTGTTTTCTCAGGTGAAACTCGATCTAGAGAGGGCTTATAAATGTGTTCATTATCATAACATGGATTTCAATAGGTTGCTGAACAGCAATGTAACGTAAGAGAAAATCAATTCAATAATACTAGAAATCCTACCGTTTCCATATCAATTTACATTTATTGCTGATTGCAAAATCGATAATAGTTGATTTGCTCGAGGCTGGGTGTAGAAGGAAAAATATTTATAAATTCACTTTTTTATCTTTACTATTTAATCTTGAAACAAATACTGGTTAGGTATATATTCTATACTATAGAGAAATTTCTTATGACTGAAGCACCTATTATTTTCAATTGGAAATAAAGCTTGATGACGATCTTAAAATAAATAGTACATAAATCAAAATTTTTGTAAATTATTTATTAAGTGCTATTTAACACATTGCACTTAATAACATGGTTCTATTCGCGTCATTTACAAAAAAAGGTATATTTATAAACACATAAAACCAGATATGTAATAATAAAATAATTAACAATGAAATTAATAAATCATATTTATAAAAATGCAAATCATAATAAATTAAATATTGTATAATTTAGTAGTGAAAAGTATACTGAATGACCTGAATATTTATCTCCATCGCATACTAGTTGTAAAATTGCAGGAATAAAATGTAAAAACTCATTTTTATGTTATATTATTCTAATCTAGCATTACTAGCAAATCGTCAAGTAGGAGTACCTGTTTGATATCCTTAAATGGTTATAAAGTAATTGCCGATATGAAGACGGTGCTTTCACTTTTTCCTTGTCTCTCCCTGAACTGATAAATAATAAGGAAGTACGAAAGGCGGTTAAATTTTATGCATCGGGACATGCGATACTGCCGGCGCTTCTAGGTTTCATTCATTGCACGATTTTCTCATACAACTTTATAAATATTGGTTGGCGCTTATGGCGTACGTAACCACTTTCAAGTGATAAGAAATCTATACTACATTTATTTTAAAATAATGTATATATTGTTTATATATATATATATATATATATATATATATATATATTAACAAAGTCTAGTAATCGGGCATAACATCAATAAAAAAAAATTATGCCCGATTACTAGACTTTCAGAAATCATGCAATATATGCAATAGTGTGTGTGTGTGTGTGTGTTATTGATTTTGTCGCAAACGTTATATTAATATCTATTCCAGATGAACCACGACCTCATCTGGGTGCCTGGGAGGACCCTCTGACAACACTGTCAGCCTCGGTTCGAGCCTCCACCGGACGGCGGCGTAAAGGGCCCACCGGTGGTGGCAGAACCCATACCTCAGCGGACAGCTGGGGATCTAACTCTGATCATGAACTTTCTACTGACGATGAAAGCGATCGCAGTGCTGCTTCAACAACAAGGTATTCACCATATTTTTTATAATTAATGTGAATTGCATTTGGAAAACATCATTTATTGCAACATGTAAAGATATTCGTCGAGATGACCGTTTCAAGTAAACGGCATAAAAATTCTTCGTATTTTTTATTGAGAATTTACACCATGTACTGGATACATTTTTATTAGCTTTACAATGAAAGTATACAAAGTAAATAGCATATAAATTCTAATCAGTATCTTACTTCGGAAAATAAAAAATAGTTCAAAAGTTGTTCTGCGAACTCCGCGTCATATCAATTTAGCATATTAGAATCATTTAGAAGATCATAGGTTAGGCGTTGCAGTTATTATGATACACTCACGTTCGAATAAATACTATGCCCTTCGTCCATATGATCGATTTTTGATTACATCAATGCAGATTTTAAAAATAAACAACTAAAATGCTTATTTAAATATATATGATTAATTATAGTACCTAATATAGTAATTTCACTTTTTTCGCATTATAATAATGCTTTCGCTATATTTAAACGAAAACGTGTGGGCGCGTGCGTGTTTGTGTATGCGAATAATTCACTACAAAAATATAAAAAAGTAGTTCATGTGTTGCAAAGTTTTCAACACATATGTGTTTTCTTTTCTTGCTCTAGTCGCGGTCAACTGCGATCGACTTTGAATAAAGCTCGCACTCTGTGGCGCTCTTCCGGAGGTTCATCGGGCTCATCTTCTATGAACGGATCTTTGAATTCTCCTGGAATGGCTCAACCCGGTGCAGATCCTGCTCATCCTGGCGATGGCTCGCCTGGAGGGCGCTTATCGCGATGGTTTTCAATGAGAAGAGGTTCTTCGCATCAATATGATTTAGGAGGCACTACAACATCCAACAACGCGCAAATTACAGCCGCTGCATTAGCTGCAGCTGTTGCAGCAACTAATAATAATCACAATGTTGTCGATGGCTCATCTAAGATGCCTCAACTAACGGAGGTATATCTAGCGACAATATTCATATCAATACTGTTTTTATTACACATATAGAGTAAATTACTAATATTTATGCTTAATTATTTAATTTTATTTAGATGGACGAAGACAGTGTACCTGTAACAAATACAGCTTTGCGAGGCAAAGGTTCTTTCTATGGAAGATCGCCGTCCACCACGTCGGGCAGTAGCGGTGTGAACAACGCGAATCGCAGTGGATCTTTACCACCTAACAGTGAGTTGACGTCGACGGCTTTGCAACAGCAAATTCCGCTGCGAAGAACCGCTCCGCCAACATTGCCACCGCCGCCGCCGGGTCTCACAGAATTACAACGGAAGCGACGGCTAATAGTTCAGTCAATAGTCCATAGCGAGAATTCATATGTTGCTACTCTTCAGCGCCTTGTTAACGTAAGTGATCCGTGTGATCCATCGATTGTTTCGAATTAATCGAAAAAATTATGACTTAAAATAAATATTTTATATTTCTCGTATAGGACTATAAAAAACCGCTGGAAGAAAGCAACCCCCCTATACTGAATTCAGCGAAGATTTCTACATTATTCCTATGTCTGCCTGAAATCCTACAGTGCCATTCGATGTTTAGATTAGCGTTAGCGGAGCGTGTTCGTGCCTGGGATCGTGATGAGCGATTAGGCGATGTGTTTTTTAGTACATTTTCCAAAAGTACAGTTTTGGAAATCTATAGTGGCTTTATTAATAATTTCTCTGTGGCGATGGAACTCGCCAAAATGGAATCTAAAAGAAAGTCAGCTTTGGCAGACTTTTTTAAAGTAAAGCAAATGACGGCACACGACAGGCTGTCATTCTTCGGTCTTATGGTGAAACCAGTGCAGAGATTCCCGCAATTCATCATGTTTTTGCAGGTAAAATAGACATTGCACATGAATATATTTTAAAATTTATTAACCACTAAATAAATATAATTTTTGTAATATTACGGCATTTTTTTTAACAATGAGAACCGGCAAATAATAATAACGTGGCATATTGGTAAATTTTATGCCCAAACTGACCGTGGGAAATATTAAAGGCCTATGAAAAGCGGTTTAATTATAAAATTAATTAAAGTTTGCATTTTAGTAGCGTGTTGAACACATAACATGGAGAGCTTTCTCATATCAGTAGCAAGGTAGTGGTATCTAATTCTAATCTTTGCGTCTATGCTCGGGAGTTCCAAACCCGCTCGAAGATTTTATTTTATTTTTAATTATTTTCATTACATTTCTATAAAAATTAACCTAAATTTTTAATTAATTTTATATTTTTCTTCTGAATATTCTATAATAAAGTACCCTGTAACGCCTATATAAAATTGATGTTATACTTGAAACATTACAATTTCATATTAATAGAAACTTATTGCTGTCTTTCGATGAAAAAATATAATGTATTTTCATATAAAAACTATTTTTTAAGGTTGATGAGATAATACTAATTGACGGGACAATACTGAGAATAAATTGAAATATATCAATTGAATAATATATTATGTTCTCTGAATTTCAGGATTTATTGAAAGATACTCCTCAGGGTCATCATGACCGCATGAGTTTGCAATTGGCTTTGACGCAGCTCGAATCTTTAGCGGAAATGCTTAACGAACGTAAACGCGAAGCAGAGCAAAGCCAAGCGTTCCGCGAAACGCTGGCTCGTATTGGAGGCGTACTCAACGCTCGCTCTCTCAGCGATGGAAATCGGTATCTTATCCGAGAAGATGATGTTACACAATTGGTAATTAATCTTTTTTTTCTTATATTCATAACAATAAAAGTTAGTTCTATTGTTCTTTGCCTCTTATTCAATCAAATTTGTAATAAATTTGTTCTCTCAAATCAGGAGTATAATCAAAATGGAATGATAACAAAATCTAAGCCTCGACGATTACTATTATTGAATGATAGAGTTGTGTGTGTCAGCGTAACTCCTCGCCATTCATCTGATTTTGGTGCCGTGGAGAAGCTAACTTTCAAGTGGACGCATCCAGCGGCGGATGTAGAAATTCAAGACTCAGGCGCTAGTCCCACGTTAAGCCGGATACTCACTGCCGGTAAATATACGCTTTATTTTATAGTCTAATACCTGTATATTATTTTTACCATATTAAATTTATTTTAAATACCTTTTTTATATATTGTGCAGGGCTAAACAGGGGCGGATCGCTAAAGTCAACCAACGGTACAGATGGCGGCGGGGCGGATTCTTTGTGTGGAGAAATGAACGCTCTCATGCACGATTATGAAGCGATATCTCGCATAGCAACCATTGTAAATACTCTAAAAGGAAACTATCCTGATTTACAACCTGACACTACGAAACGTATTCTTCAAACTATTCAGTCTTCCATACAGGTAATTTGATAGAATTACGGATCTTCAATCATTTTCTCTAATTTATTTTTTATTCAATAAATACAAAGACATATATTACTTTGTTCATTTCTTAGTCTGATTATTATGTATTCAAATTACCTTAAAAACAGCGAAAAGATGAGGAAATGGCATGGCTAGATTCATGCTGCCTACAGTTGATTGCCAGGGCTCCGCGTGGCGGAAAAGAAGAGACATACACATTTCAGACTGCAGGTCCGGCTGTGCGTCGAGATTGGCTGACTGAACTACGACTGGCCCAACTCGCTCTCGACCCAAACAATTCTCCTGCCTGGTTGACAAGCGACGCATCGCCTGCCCGACGTCCTGCTACCAGATTGCCACTATTTGTTAGATCTCACTGCGTCTATCGTTCGCAACATAAAGCTGAAGTTAAATGCGGTTGTTACTACAATGCTCCTACTAATACAGGTATAATTTTCGTAAGTTTTAGTATTTAACTTTAATGATTTCTACTGGTAAAAGTACATGGTCTTGCAATTGTTCGTCATTTTTATCACATAATTTCCCGTAGGGTAAGTTATTGTGATCGTCCAAAAATCGAAATCGAAAATTTTTACATTTCTCGACGTTTTGAAGGTTTCTGAACATTTTGGCATACTTTAGAAAAAATAGATGTGTGTGTGTGTATGTATGTATGGATACATTTTTTCGTCCACGTTTTCGGGCGCACGGATCAACCGATTTGAATGGTTCAAAAAACATTCGATTCCTATCGATAGGGAGATGTGCTGATTAGTTTTTGGCAAAGGCAGGTCCAGAAGTTACAGAGATAAAGAGCAAAGAGTGCAGAAAATAAAAATTAAGTTTTTGAGAGAACGGAGCATCCAATTTGAATGATCCAAAAAACATTTAATTTGCAATAACGGGGAGAAGTGGTGATTGGTTTATGGCAAAGGCAGGTCCAGCGGTTTCGGAGACACAGAGCTAAATGTGCAAAAAATTGTGGTTTTTAAGGGAACTAAGCGTCCGATTTGAATGATTCAAAGAACTTTCTGCTTGTTTTAACAAAATAATTGATTTTGAAAAAAAAACATTGTTTCAATTTTTTTTTTTAAATTTTTTTTTTTTGTATATCGAAAATAATTCAGGTTTCTATTTTAATTCTGTTCTAATATACCTTAAACAAATAATTTCAACTTTCCAATTCAGTTTATTTAATTTTTATAAATATTAGACAATGTTACAATATTTATAATAATCTATTTTAAAACATTTAATATTCCTCGATCATCTCGTTACGATACGGGAAGTTCCAGCAATTTGCCTCAAGGCACAATGCTTTAATTGCCTTAAGACAGAATTCCACTTACAGCTAGTTTGCTTATGCATTAAAAAATGACGAACCAAAGAATAATTTATATTAATGGGTTATCGGTAACCGTCGAAAATCATCCATTTACCAGCCGAAATTCAAATATAGTTGCGGTATGCTTATAATAGATAACTCATTAATCTTTTAATATTATAATATAAGTGATACTTGTATTAAGTTACATACTAAATAAACCAAATAATCAGTTTAATGTTAATTTCGTGAAATTGCTTTATAGGAAGGACGCGCTCTCGCGGTGCTGTATCCGGCTATGTATGGCTGTGCACAAGTGATGGTGCTAGTAGCCATTTATCAGTTTTGTCTGTGTCTCAACGTGGTGGCGGTGCCAGTAGCGGTGCAACACCAAACGCTGGAACATTGCGGGATTGTGCTTCGCACCATTTGGTCGAAACCCGCGTAACTGCTTTAGAACATGCTCGCGGCCCGCCAGACGCTGTGTGGCTCGGTACAGACGCTAGAAAAATTATGATTTATGCGGCTAACGATCCGGACAAAGCCGATCCTGTATATCAGACAAACGTTCAAGCACCAATTACGCGTCTTAAGTATCATTGCGACTCGACGTTCGTGGGCTTAGCTGATGGGAATGTACTTGTTTACAGGTAGGTTTATGTATAAACAAAATGTTTAATAATTGTATCGATCATCGTTTTTCTTTGTCTATCCACTGTATTATTCCATGTTATATATTTACAGTAGTGATGTGCCGACTCGCAAATTTCCTGATTCGAGTGATTCGAATCATGATTCGAATCAATTCGAATCAAGTTCATATATGAACAATTATAATTTAAGAGAAGAAATAATATCATTTTAATAATTTCATAAGTGAAATAATTAATTTAGTAAGCAAATAATTCCAAAAAGTGCAGAGATGAATACATTTATATTATATATATATAATAATAAACTAGCTACAAATATAACTAATATTTCAAGTGAATTTACAGTAAAATATAACCAAACACTTCTCTATCACTAAACCATATAAAACAATATTCTTAATCTTACGTTGAACGAATGCATGTGTATATTATTGATTGTTTAGATCTAATCTAAACAGGGGGCTGAATCTAACGTCTTACGAATGACTTAAAATTCAATCCACTACTGTAAAGATTGATATTATTTCATTTGCGTGAATTTGCCATTACTTGCATAATTAAAATATGCTAATTTCGTATGTGTATAAAACTCGTTGTGTAGTTTATTTTGATATTAATTAAAATCTAAATCGCGTATTTATTATCTAAATGAGTTTTTGATATTTCATGAACAAATTTGCTCTCAGCTCTTAGTCAAAAATAAACAAACACTCAAGACCCATACGCACTGCATCTCGATAAGTCGATACGCTAAAACACGGACACATGTTTCGAACTCAAGTCGGAATGATTCTGTTTGAGTTATATGAACTCGGATGAATTCATATCGACTTGAAGTCGAAATGAGTCGGTTTGAGTCATAGGAACTCGGATGAGTTCATATCGACTTGACGACAATGAATGCGGTTAAAGTCATATAAATTGGAGTCGGGTGATACATTTAAGCGTATTAAAGCCGGGTGACTCGCATGATTTAATTCAAGATTTATTTTTTATATTTATTATTATTATTTTTTATATTTATTATTATTATTATTTATATTATTATAATATTGTATTAATTTAAAACATATTTTTTATAATCATGAAAATTTGTGTTCATACATGTACACAGTAAATATTTCGCGGCTTGATACGAGTTGATTCGAATCAAGTAAAATCTGATTCGAATCAAGTCGTTAAAGGCTTGATTCGAATGATTCGAATCACTTGGTTCGACTTGGCACATCACTAATTCACAGTACCATATTGTAAACATTAGTCTCAAATATATTTTAAATTAAAAACTAACAAGATCTTCTAATTCAATTACTATTTAGACGTTCTGGCAATGACAAAAGTTGGTGGCCTCTACGAGAGCCGCAAATTGTAAATATGGGTTCAGAACCAATCACATCACTATTACCAACAACTGATGCAGGATTGTTTGTGTCCTGTGGCAGGAAGGTGAGCAGGGTTAATAACTTGCTATACTTTTCATTTTTAACTTAAATTATTACATATAATCTATTTTAGGTAATGTTACTTAATGCACATTCTGGCGAGATTTTACGAAGTTTTAATATAACTCGTCAAGATAATAGTTCTCAGACTGTAAGTCATTTAGCTCTCTCTGGAATTGGATTGTGGGTAGCTCTCAGAGATTCAAGCATTCTTTGTTTGTATCATTGTGAAACATTCAGGCATTTGCAGGTAATAAATTCAAAAAAGTATCATATCTATCTACACACACACTCAAATATATATATATATATATATATATATATATGTGTGTATATTGATTGTTTTTTTTCTGAACAGTAAATCCAATAATAAAAAAACAATTTGTTTTTTGTAGATGTTTAATAACGACGTTTCGGAACTAGATACGTTCCGTCATCAGGTTTATTCTGTCAAAGATAATGTTTTTTAAAACTATTGATTGAAATTAATTAATGATGGTTATTACAGATTATTTAGAAAAAATATAAATGAATGGATTATGTACCAGTGTAAAGAGTTATAAAATTAACTAAAAGAGTTTTATATAAAATTGAGAAGCAAAAACTATTTACCTGTAATATTTACATATCCATATCACTAATATTTTTGTTAAAAACACTCGATTTTTCCCGATGGAGTTCTGTCGGCCAGATGTAAGGACTTGGGCAAAAATAATTTTTAATGGCTCTTGTATCGGTAATTTACGAAAAATGGGAATGTATTGCTTTAGCAAATGTTGAGAAATATTATTATGTATATATATACATGCACATACATATGTATACTCTTTACACTGGTACATAATCCATTCCTTTATAATTTTTCTTAATAATCTGTAATAACCATCATTAATTAATGTTAATCAATAGTTTTTAAAAAACATTATCTTTGACAGAATAAACCTGATGATGGAACGTATCTAGTTCCGAAACGTCGTTATTAAACATCTTCAAAAAACAAATTGTTTTTTATTATTGGATTTACTGTTCGGAAAAGAAAGAATCAATATATTGAAAAAATCCAGGACTTTTCTATTGAATATATATCTATATACTATTCCCATTTTATTTAATTCTTGTTTCGTATTATATTACTACTACGGAATATATATATCCTCGAAGACAAAACATAAATTATGAAAACTTATTTTTGTTACATAGGATATTGATATCGCAAATGATGCGGCCCGTGTTGCACAGAATACTACAAACCGAGAGTTGCATGGAAATGCCCAAATAACAGTTACAGCTTATGGCATGCAAAGGACTTCTTTGGGTTGGTACAAGCACTGGAGCTTGCCTTACCGTACCTTTACCTAGATTAGAAGGTGTTCCTATTATCGGACGATTTGATGTATCTTATCATGTGCACAGTGGACCAGTTACTTTTCTTTTACCGCTTATTGTCCGAAAAACTATGATATGGGTACGCTTAGAAGGAAAGAAGTTGAGGCATTTGATGACAATACCAATAACTCATTAGCACAACAACACAAAAGTGAAACTAAAAATATGAATGATAATGCTGCTTCGGTAAGCGTGAAATTACGTCAAAATTTAGCCAACAGTCCTGTAGTTTTACGTCGCCGGCGATCAAGGATGGTGGTGGCGATGTTGCTTCTCGTGGTTCGAAGACTCTTCCGCGCAGTCTCGGTTCGTTCAGCGCCGCTAGTACAACATCTTCTCAAGGCTCTGGAGACACCTGCGATGTATATGGACTATATGGGGACTTAATGTATATTAAGGACTATGAAGAAACAGTAACTTCCTTCGAAAGTCCTTTACGACGCAGCGACCCCGAATTAGCAGCAATCCCTGGCAAAGTGAGCACATTGGACAGGCGCCTACGTTGGAAATGTGGTCGGCCGCGCTCACTGGACTTATCCAACTGGTCTCCTGATGATTCTCGAAGTTCCTCTGGTCTCTGTACTACTTCTTCAGGAAGTGAGGAGTCGTCGGTAGCTGCTTCTAGGCGTGGTGTTTCACGTAATAATAGCGCAGCATCTGAAAGATTGACGCCAGATATTACTTCAAATTCAGTATTACCACCAAGCAGTCAATTGACTCCTGCAACATCTAATGCAAATACCACTATTAAAATTTCTAATAAACGCGGAATAACAGTGAACGCTCAGGATTCAAAGCGTACAATAATAACTATAAGTGGCGGTAGAGGTTATTTAATTGGCGTCCTCAGAGTTGTATTTCAGCAAATGAAAAGCAAAAAAATCTGGACAACAATCAGGCAAGGTGGTTCCTAATACAAATGATGCACACATTATTATGTGGGAAAAAAAACTGTGATGTGGTATTAATTTTAGATTTTACAAATATATTTATATTGTCAGAACATAAATTATTGTTATTGCAAATTTTGTTATTGACACACTGTTTATACTAAATATATAATTTTAGATATGTTAGGAAGGCATGTAAATATTTTTATATACCAAATGTTGTTATATCTGAAAATAAGTTTGCAGCTATGTGTGTTTTGATTACATTATGTGTATGTGAACATTACACACACATACACAAACATATATATATATATATATATATATATATATAATATTATTACAATATAATATAACATAATTGTGTCTTTGTGTATGTGTATGTTGTTATGCATATTCTTTTTGTAAAACATTAAAGAAAATTTACTTTATAATAAAAAAAAGTTGTTGATAAGCCATGAATATATGGGCGTTTTCAAGATATAATGCAATTATATTCTCCAGATGTGGTGTGAAATTGTGGAATGCTTACATTTAGGTAGAATATGTTTGCTGCTTGAAAATTTACTTAATATAATAATATATGGCATAACCATTGATAAGTGAAGATCAATTTTGTTACGAATTAGTCAAATTGTTTGTATGGACGATGCAAGAGTGATTGAATTGAAATTAAATTTATTGTACAACTACAGTAGCATTTAAAATTATATATGTAGATGATTTCAACAAATGAGTATTATAAAGTAAAAAAATATAAAATGAATATTATGTATGCATTATGCATTCACGCGCACACACACACACACACACACACATATATATATATATATATATATATATATATATATATATATATATAATAGTTTCTATGTAAATATATAAATACATCAATTTTGTAATTGTTCAAGCTTAGCAATTACGAGAACAGTTCTTTGTTTAAAATTATATCTTTTTCAAAACTGCAATTGTTTTTATAAGTTGATAACAAAACACGTATGATTTTGAGTTTTACTACATTCAATAAATATATACCATTTTTATTCTAGTCAGGTATATGTAAAAACTTCAATTTATTACATAAATAATGAATTTTATATCTGACATTAAAATGTCTAATTAAGAAAATATATAATGTAATTAACTTATGTGCATCAATATAAGGGATCAAATAAATTTAAAAACTGTTGATTTTTTATATAATATGCTTACATATTTAAAAACTATTTCACATTTATATATAAATATATATATATATATATATATATATATATATATATATCTTGATAGTTTTTTCGACGTTGAAACATATTTCAAAGTACTAACTAGCAGCCCATTTGTCGAAATAAAAAGGTAATAAAGTATTTAAGAACTTTTATTTATACGTTTTGACACAAGATGCGTGTCATCATTCAGCAACTACAATAAATTTAAAAATTTTACTAATAATAAAAAACAATTATAAAATAATTATAAACATAGAAAAACACTTAAATTTTTTTTTAAGTGTTTTTGTCCTGGTGGTATATATAATGTTTCTTTATGTTTATAATTATTTTATAATTGTTTTTTTATTATTAGTAAAATTTTTCAAATTTATTGTAGTTGCTGAATGATGACACGCATCTTGTGTCGAAACGTATAAATAAATGTTCTTAAATACTTTATTACCTTTTTATTTTGACGAATGGGCTGCTAGTTACTTTGAAATAGATATATATATATAGATATATATATATATATATATTTACATATTATTATATTAATATAATGTTATATATATATATATATATATATTATATATTTTATATGTTTTTATGTAATTATAAGAAATGAGTGAGGAATAATTTATATATTTGTCTAGTTATTTAGTGATTTATTGACTTATATTATGTATCATTTATATACTATGTAAAATTACTGTATAATATATAATATAAACTTTGTGTATATAAATAAATATATTTATTTGTAGCTTTTAGTTTTAAACCACGTCAATACAATACCCTCATTTATTGCAATTTTGTGAGAAAATGCAAATTACAGCACCCAGTGAAGCTTTATAATTTCTGAAATATTATGAGAGTGAGATCTGAATCTTCGATTATGGTTTACTATTTGTCAAAATAGGCAAAAAACTAGTGGGGTGTATGGCATCGTGCCTTAGGCAAATTGCTGGAAGCGTACCGTAATTAAAAATCTTGATACGGAACTTTAAAAAAAATTACAATAAATGTGCACACATTATTAAAATATCTGATAATTTGATGTGCATATGTCCAATAAACATTTTTGACCGCCAAATGACATTTTTGTAACTTATTTTTATTGAGAGTCCATAACCGCTGGACGTGCCTTCCCAAAAATTTAATTGAGTTTTTCATCTTGTCAATGCAAGTAAAAAGTTTTTTGAATTTTTAAAATCGGACGCTCCGTTCTTAAAAAACTGAGTTACCGTTTTGGCACTTTTTGCCCCGTATCTACGGAACTGCTAGACCTGCCTTCGCCAAAAAAAATACTATCAGCAATCTCCTTATCAATACGAGTCGAATGTTTTTTAAATTATTCAAATCGGGTGATCGGTGTTCCCGAAATCGTCGACGAAAATTTGTATCCGCACATAATAATAATAATAATAATAATAATGAGTGCTCTGCCTTAGGGCAAGTCCGTGAGCTGAGTTAAACTCCAACTCGATTCAGGGAAGAAGTAGTGTGAGAGTTTTTCCCATTTCCATTTCCGCACATACACACACATATATCTATTTTTTCTAAGGTATGCCAAAATGTTCAAAAACCTTTGAAACGTAAAGATATATACAAATTTTCATTTTCGATTTTTACTATTTAATAGTAACAGTAATTTAATATTATTTTTAAAGTACAAACATTTTTATTTCAAATTTTGGCGCTTTAATTTGAATGGCAAGTGATATGCGATTGAAGCGCCATAGCAATGTAGTGCCCGTAGCAATAATTAAAGATAAAAGAAGAGTATGGCGGTAATGTACCTGTCAAAGT